AGCTTGGATTTTTCACTGTTTTGAAGCCCTCCCCCTCCCGAGGTATTGTTTCTACGTGTATGTACTTGATTTAAATTTGATCCGTCCCACGTGGGTAATGCTCACAGGCCGTAGACAAACAAATGGTCGGTCTGGAGTTATAAGAGCGTCATGTGATAAACAGTATGCCGACAGAAGTACTGGAAAGTCATTGCGATTCTCAAAAACTGGTGCTTTGAGGATTATCCTAGTAGTATGACATTGTTTTCTACGGCTCTTCGATTGGGGTTTGTCCAAAACGACCTTCTCCATTTGAACCGCTTCAATATGAGCGGATCTGGGCTTGACCAGGATGCCGCTCAGCGAGACAACTAGCTAGGAGACCGCGCAGTTGTGGTATAATGTCACACAGTTATAATTCTGTTCAGTGACTGTTTGTACGGCACTTAAAGTTTATTGGAATTTTTTAATGTCGTCGAAGAATCAATCCCTCTCACCTGACACCTAGGTACAGGTCAATGAATTTGAAATTAGCTGAATGTCAACTGATATCACTCGCCAACAGCGCAAACTAGTTTTCACTTAGTTTTTGTTCCAGTAAGGTTGTTTTATGGAAAAGTTATAGGCGAATTATTGATGGGTTGGGTTTACTGTTCCAACAATGTGGTTAGGCCGGGTTTTTTGATGGCCGGAAGAGCTAGACAGTGGGCTCACCCATCGCCACAGTCCCACTTGGAATTGTTAGCTATTTTGCTATTATGTTGGCCTTAAAAGTATCAAAATCATCCTCACTGTCAGGGTAAACAAAAAAAGAGCAGTCAAGGATCAATCCCTGTTTGCTCTACTGGGCGGCATCCCCAAAAAACCAGCTGGCAACACTGGTATGTACGAGGGTGGGAAATGCTTGGGCGAGGTAGTCAAACAATAGTAACACTGTGGAGCAAAGTACAGTTTTTTTAAAAGTTACTGTTAGTTCTTCTGACTGACTCATCGTTTTCCTAACAAATTCCTCAAATTTCAAAAGACCTCACAATTCAAAGAACATTTCTGCAACTTGGAACCATCTGTTCAACCTAAAACTGGATCGCCCAATCATAGTTATCACGTCGATGTGACGTGAACTCTGCAGAAAATGGATCATCTAAAAACCAGAAGCAGTTCACTTGTTTTCAAGCGCGCTAGAACATTCTTGACTACCACAGCCGAACGTTGGTCAATGGTTGAGTTTTTTTCTGAGAATGAACCCACCCCTTTCAATCTGAAAAAGATTTCGGGGTTTTTGTATGATGCGTTCGTTGACACTGCTACCATTATCCTCATGGAGGTATATGAGCAGGTAATTCTCATTTTCAAACACTAAGGCAACCGATTGTTAAAGGCACAGCTCACGTTCAAATGATATAAGATATTCCCATCAGGACCCACACCTTGTATGCAGGCATCTTACTGCAGCCAGCTGTATGCAATGGCGCGCACATCAGGACAACTCGTCTAAGTACCCCTCCCAACTGCACCCAAAATTATTGTGAACTGTGCCTTTAATTTATTGCTGCAACCCGGCTTTAGAAGAAAATAACATACTGTTGAGTGGGGGAACAAAAATCGATTCAGCAGCAATTTGAACATTACCATTGCCTACGAATATCCATCCACAACAAAACAATGACTATCACCTACAAATAGCGTAGAAGAAGGCCTAATACTGCCGGCTAATGAAGAAGTCGCATTGCAGTGCGGCCTGACGCTTGACGCCTTGACGCTTTTCTTGAAAGCTGCTCTTTGACTTCCTTAATAGCCTTAAAAGTAAGCTCGAGTTTTCTATCACACATCGAATGCGCACAAACAAATGCTACAAAATACTGGTTTCCGAGATTCCCGCTAGAATGGATCCGTAACCCTCAAGATTAGTACATGGGCCATTGTCGGGCAGAAAAACGGCTTAGACTGGACGCAATAAGGGGTTTTAAAATAGTTCAGCCGAATTAGATACTCTAATTTGCCGTGTATTGCCTACCTTATTATTACTGCACTATTCAGAGGACCAGACGAATAGTACGCTCAAATAAGAGACACAGAGACGGTCTCCCGTATAACTCACTTTAATGCTACTTTTTTAAAAAGTTTTATATCTCCTAAATTTCCCTTTTCAACGAATTTCTCACTTTCTTCGACACCCATGAGTAGCTGTAATGATGACTGAAGAGAAGTCTCCAGTCATTTCCAAAGTTTGTAGCCGTGCGTAAAGCTATTATTTGCTTTGGAAGTGATGCATGTTTGACTGGTGACTTAAGGAACTTACTGTGCACGTGAAATGAGACTTTTTGGACTAGGAAAACAGCGACAAAAGCACATTACCATAGGGGTTTTCATAGATGTTTGGTAGGTGAAAATCTATATAAGGCACTATCACGGGGAGTGATCTGGGGGAATGAAACCCAGAGTGGCATCCGCCTTTCCAGTCAAGGCTTCCATCCTTCCATTTGGTACAGGACTCATCTAGGAATGTACAAGAGCTGGTTTACACTCAAAAAACTGCAGAAGATCCTTTATACAGGCTATGTACCCATTTAGAACGTCACCGGCTGCGCTTAGAAACCATCCCACTACTTAATTAAAGGGATCTCTGAATACAATCGAATCAAGGGTCTCAGGGCGAAACCATTTCAATGGGAACGTCCACGGTACCTATCACTAAAGAAACTGGCACCGGTTGGGTAACAAATGCGGCACGGTCTTGATTGGGACTAATCCTCAGCATCAGTATAAGTAGATTACTTTGAAATCTGGTCAGTCATTAACGTGAACCAATCCTTATACATACATTCGGGGTTACAGTTGTGTCCCGTAGTTATATGTTTGCTCTGAAGTTCAAAACCATTCTTTGCCGCTTCTGCAACCCGTTTCTCCGTGTAGCCCCGTTTTATTTTCAATCTATTAAAAAAGGCAACCACAGAACAATTTGTGGAGTCCTTTCCTACCTATTATTTGGCTTGATATTATGTCATAACGTTACAATTATCAAAGAACGAACTTCTGAAGAATGACAGTCGTTTCCGACAAAACAAATGGGATCAGTTGCATGGGGAACTTACTCTTTAGGTTTTATCAGACGACTTACCGGAATGTTAGAGACAGCGATAGCATCGCTTTATAGTAGAGTTGTTTTAGCTCATAGCGATCCTTGTTCCAATTTAAAATTTATTTTTCATTTGTAACTTCATATAGAAACTTCTTCTAGATGATGAAGTGATGTAGCACCAGGTAGAATATTTTCACACGCAGATCTGGGAATTGGATCCCGGAATGATGCCTATCCATGCTTACCAAGCCTTCCATCCCTTTGGGCCCTTGGTGTCAAAACTCGTTCTATTCGCTCAAGATAATAAATGCAGTGGTCGTGCAATGCCGAATTCCAACAGTCATTCTTGGGGCAACCTAGACCTCTATGTTTCCTCATAATGGCGGAGTCGGGAGCTTATCAACATGGGATTGATGTATTGAAAAGACTTTCTTTCCATTTTTCCTCTTCTTCTTTTTTTCTTAACAGTTAAATAAAGAAACATCAGAGACTAATAGAGAACTCTCATACAAAGCCGGAAGAATATCTGCCCGTACTTACTCATCGAGGAACGAGGAAAAACCAACCTGGTTCTTCCCCGTTGCTCGATGCTCTAATTTTGCCACGACCCTGCTGGAATGATTTTTCGAAGTTTTTATTTTTGTTATCGCTTCTGCTTCTAAACTTTTGATGATCAGTTATTAACTATGCCGAAAAGGGAAATGCTGCACTTATTAAGAAGAATTCGCCATTTCAGTATGTCCATATTTCATACGGTGACACCCGAATGGCTGGCGCAACACATGGTGAGCCTTTTTCTTTTTCTGATTTATTAATGCAAACTTCTAAAATCAGGTCAGTGAATGAAAAGATGTTTAATAACCATTACGATTTGAAGAATCCTGCAGACAGCCGAAAAACAAAAGAGTGATTTTCAAATTCCTGCAAGACCAGACCCTAAGATGGAAATGCATGGATGCCCTGGTGTGGTGTGTACATATTCTTCCAAGCAGACCAGGCTAAAATGCTTCGTTAGGAAATCCATAAGTTCTGCCCTCTGGTTTTGGCTCTTCCATAGTTTTGTCGAAGGGAAAGAATACTCGGAGTCGAACTTCTGATAGTCCTCGCTCCTCAAGAGGGACAGGGGCCATTTCCGTCTGTAGGTGATTTTGAAGTTTTGGTTGTATGTTCGATGGAGGGAATGGAAGTTCCAAAAGTTTCTATGCAATTCTATCCCTCGAACAAGTTCTTCTTTTCAAGAATTAAGTGATTTTCTGACATTTTTCCTTTGTAATTTCCTGTTGTCAATGAATTTAATTTGCATGCTCCACCCCTTCCAACTGTCTATGACTCTTCGTCGAAAAGCAGGACGGGCAATCATGGAAAAAATCCTGATGTGAGAAGGGGACTTAGACAAATGCCTTTAGAAAGTGCACGGAAATTGCGGTTCGATTCATTTCGCCAGCCATTTAGAGTCCCTCTAAAATTGCCAAAGTTTGAGTGCACGGAAATTAAAGTCCCATTCCTTCCTCGATAGGAAATCGTCTAGGTCACAAGAGTGACCGTCACTAGCGTCAAATGGGGGTTGTTTGAACTTAAAAATCACAAATTGTTCTAGTGCCTAAGGACCATTTGACTCTGATTAAAAATTATTTTGGGAGTGTTGCTCTGGGATAGAGCGAACACCATTGCTGAACGAAACATGGACGTTGTTGTCCAAGCTACATCCGCATTCAAAGCTCCACTTCAATTTCAAATGGAATCAAATGCCGGGCGCATCTTCAACCTTTTTGTTCGTATACCAGCAGAGCTATTGGACAAGAACTCTTCATTTTGCTTTAAACTGTTTTGCAGAATTCGGTTGTGATCCTGGATGTCACCTATGAGAAGAGGCCGAAGCCGAATCCAGAAGAGTTTATGAAGACGCGCTATGGTCGTTTCGAGGAGATGATGAGAGAGAAGGTTTGTCGTTTCTTCTTCGGAAAACCAGGTTAGAAATGAATCTATGGATTGGCCTCATTGGGGGTTTTCTTTAGCTGAAGGATCTCTAGCCGGTTAGCACCGAGGCTACGTTGGGTCACTCCATCTGACGGATAGGGAAGTGAATCGTGGATCAGAAGTCACTTGTTCTTGCTCTGAGGCGCAGGTGGATTCCGGGGACTACCTAGAATGCGCTTTGCAACTCATAGTGGATGGGTCCCTTTATGCCCCAGAAAACTATCAGACGATGCCTGCGTTACTTCAAAGACTAGCATCTCCAGCACTGAAGCGGTTAACCCAATTGACCATTTCAGCGAATATGTAGGACGCTAGGGCGGAGATGGTGTAGTGGCATGTGGCGCACTACCTCACACGCACGATCAGGGTTCGAAACAGGGGTATCGCCGAAAACTTTACACTTTAAGCTTTATGTATGTCGCTGATCAGCTGCTAAACTTCTGTTTTCCCCTTGGCGTGCTTAGCAGAGGATGGTACGAATCTCACGCAAAATTGGTAGCACTTCAGATTTTTATTGGAGAATTTCCTCCCCAACTTAGCAATAAATACTGAATGACTTTTTTAATGATTTGTATTATTTAATAGGAATTTGACTGCTGCGACGAGCGTGCAGTTATCAAAAATCGCACTTAGATGCGGTCGAGTATAAGGCCCCTAGTCTGTAGATAAAGCCAGATCACACCATTACTCCATCACTCTGATTCAGCTCATAAACGCTTGATGCTGACTAAAAGTCCGGTATCAAAATAAGTTTAATCGTTCTGTTCAGCCAAGAGCCTATGTTGAAGAACACATTCCTGGAGCCGTATTATTCAACATTGATGCTGCTTTCTATCCTTCGAAGTAAGTTCACAATCTCTTGGAGAAACTCTGAAATGACTCTACGATTTGTCCTGTTTGTATATGGATCTGCTAAAAACAAGTTCATTCTAATAGCTGCTTTTTACTCCATGACTTTCTAAGTTCCTCAACGATTAGCTCAGTACAGAGGAGGGGTAGATACAAAAGGACCTATCACTAAACTGGTCGAGGGATCAAATCCTTACCAGACCCCCGTAGGCTAATCTTTTCTTTTTCTGTCGGCAGCAGAACATTCCCGAAACTTTATGAAATCTCTTCAGATACATTCGCTTCGATCTCTATCCACCCGAAGTATTTGAAAGGTATATGCGCCTGCTTGGTGTGAACAATGATGACCATGTTATTGTTTATGGTAGAGGCCCTTTTGCCGGCATGATGTGGCCAGCCAAAGCATGGTGGGCACTGAAGGCAAGTTAAGAAGATGTTATCGTTGTTTTCTCTGTCTCCCAGTAGCCTAGAAAACTGAAATTTATCACTGAGAGCATTTCCCCATACTCCACTAGGTGTTGCTTCTTCAGGTGTACGGTCATGGCAAGGTTTCCGTACTTGACGGTGGTCTCGATGCATGGAAGAAAGCTGGTTATCCTGTCACTAATCAAGTGGTTCAAAGAAGAGTAAGATCTTCTAAGCATTGGACTGAGCTGAACATGTGGGTGTAGTCCCGAAGGCAACAAGGAATACTTATTGTTGCTTCCTTATCAAGGAGGAACGATTCGCCAATTGAAGTGCGCTGAAGCCTTGTGGATCACATCTACCCACGTCTCGAATGTGTTTTGACTGAGCAGTTTTTTTATCTGAATTTCTAATATTCATATATTCAGCCTG